TGTTTGTTTATATTAAGAACATTCATAAGTGAAAGTATTTTTTTTACTTAAAGAACATGAAAGTGACTAATGACAAACAGTACAGTATGGGACTGTTACCTTGTGCCATGCTAAGGTGCCAGCATTTTTACCCTCCATTGCTTTTGCACCATCAAAACAAATTTCAGCACTGTGATAAAAAGACAAATATTGTCTTTGAAATTTTTACTGAATTTGTGAACCCTCTACTAGGGTGTCAAAGACCACACTTTGAAGATTGCTAAACTAAATTATGCAAAAAGGAAAAACTCAATTAGATTGGCCATGTAAAAAAAAAAAAAAAACCATAGGAAATTTCAGTATGTCTGAAGAGTTATCTAACTTAGACAAAGATTTGTATATTGATATAAAATATTAAATTTATCAATATATATATATGTACACTTATAAGCCAGAGCTTGTTGGGAAAACCTAATCGGAACAAGGATTTCCATTATTTTTTATACCATTTAATTATATAAATCAAGAGTCTTAATATTTTTTAAAAGTATATGTAAAAATGGAGTATGTTGATGATATTATCTGTACTTTAAGAGAGTAGGGTTTAAGCACTGTCACATTTCCAAAGCTTCGTGCTTCTTACTGATAATCTAATATCGAGATGCCAATCATACAGTTCATGCATTTCACTTTAGCTTTAAGATCTTGTTAACTGCTTTTGGTACCCCAATGAACACATCAGCAAACCATCTTTCAGCAGACAGCCGAAGGTAACCTCCGGATGTGAAGCAGTGAGAATCAATATAATAAGAGTATTTTTAGGGACTGTTGATGGATTGCTGTATTTCGAGCTTAACTTCAAGTGCCAAATGCCCCAGAGCTGACTAAGATGAACTCACCATTTACTGAGAACTGCAGAGGCCATCATGCAGGTAGAGAGCTCCAGGATTGCCAAGACAGGACATATGCACCTTTCCCTTTGTAGTTTTGGTGAGAATTCTTGCATGTTTTTTAGTAGCCCAATAGGGTATTTTAATGAGGACTTTGTACCACTCTCCTTGCTGGAGCAAAGTGTTACCCATTTGATGACCTCCCAGTCCTGGGAACACATAACTGTGAAATTTGGGGACAACTTTGTACAGCAGCAAATCAGTTAATTCTCCATATCAGGAGTGATCTGGTACGCCAAGGCACTAATGACTTCGCGTCCTTCTCCAAAGGCAGCTCACAGAAGGCGGGGGCCACGTTAAGCTGTGCCTCTGTCAGCAAGCTGAAAGCTGTGGGTCTCTGACACAGCTCTCGATTGCTAGCAGGTTTCTCTCATTGCACCTCATTTGCATCTGGGACATCAATTAGCATGTTTGTTGAGGCTAATTGAATGAAACTCAATCATAGCTCTTAATTGCTTGACTATGTGAAAAGAAATCACATTAATGCAGCTAATTAAGTGTACGGCAATAGATGCAACATAATTAGGAGCGAAATGTAAAAAACAAGGGATGGCAAAGGTGCAGAGGCAGGGTTGCAGGGGACGGCGAGGCACAGTTACCGAGCTATTGGCGCGTGCGGGAACAGGTCCCTTTGCTCCAGTGCCTGCTTGGAAAAAATAATCCGCATGATGAGCATGGACAACTTGAGAAGAAAAATGCAAATAGGTTTGCAATTACTACTTTTTCAAGCTGTTGAGGGGCAGGAGATGGCACCTCTGGGGGGCTTGGCTCTTGAGTGGGCCCCAGGGACTTGTTAAGTGCTGTTTAAAAGTACTTGGCTTTGAATTACCCTCATGCCTTGTTAAAGGGCTTTTTCCTCTTTTATCTTCGATCAGCGTTTTCTACAACTACATGGAGAAGGGTAGTATCTGTAACATTTGCATATCAAAATTGAGCTTGCTGTCTTTATTTTCCCCAGGTCCCCACCTCAGACCCATCAAGGGTCTGCACATCCCACTTCTATGGAGACCACATTGTTTAGCGCTTGTAGCTTTAATTCTTCAAGTACCAAGCTGGGGAGAGATGAAAAGGATAAGTTCTTTCAAAAACAGAAAACTCAGTGTAGTTTCTCCTCCTGGGAGAAACTAGAAGCCATGGATGGACCCATGTGTTTCACATTCCACCTGTTTATGAAGCCCCAGGTTGGAGGGCTTTTATTGACTAGGAAATGCATTTTGTAACATTTTAAAATTTTTCAGTGACTTAAAACATAAGAATTGCCAAATTTATATTTTGATCTTTTTAGAGCTAGTTCTTCTGAAGTTTCAGCGCCTAACTCAGGCAACAAAACAGATCCCCTAACCCACGCTGAGCTAGAGATAAATGTGTTCCCTTGTGCGTTCAGATACAAAGAGCAGATACTTGGTGCATTTCTATAATAATTTTAAATAAAATATCCTGGTTATTGTACGTTAAGATGTGCCTATTAAAAGGGCCCATGCTGAGGCTTAGTCACTATCTGATTAGCCTCATTTTAGAGCCCATAAGCAATAAATGCTCAATTACACTCCTGTTATTGTATTTTAATTTGTTAAGAATTGGCATTAAAGAAGAAAGTTATAGCAAGTTGATATTTTTAAGGGAGTAACTATGCAGGAAGGAATTTATTATTTACAAGCATCAACTTTGGTTTTGAAACGTGGGTTTGCGTTTTCAGTGGATATTAATGGAAGTAAATTCAAGATGCTTCAGAACAACCTTTTTTTGTTAACATGACCTACACTAACCCAGGCACACTTTCTTCTTTGATGTGCTTTTCACTTGCCATCCTAAACACTCAGCTCAGTCATGAGAGTTCCTATATTTTTTCCAGTCTACCTTATCCCTCAATCTAATTTAGTGTAACTAATTTAATAATACTTCTCTTTCCATCTTGGGTCCACATCTTTTCAAGACCACAGGTTTTTTAATGGTCGATTATATTTTGGGGAGCCCAGCATCTTGACTTTCAAGTGGAGTCTTCTGTCAGGGCCGTGTGAAGTCAAATTTGCTCCTCCCAGTCTGGATACAGTCTTTTCCTTCCCGAATCCACAGGACTCTCCTTCAGGGGGCCGGGACCGACCCCAGCCAGCCTGCCTGCAGACATGGGGACATTCCTCCCTGAGCCACCGAGGGTGACAGGCGCCTCTGCTGAAGAATGCCCGGCCTCGCCCCTGCCTCCGAATGTGCCCCAGTGCTTCTGATCCTTTCTCCATTTGTTTTCAGCCCATTTTTCTTCCTCCTGGCTCTGACCTTGGCTTTTTAAGCTTTCATTTGCACCAAGAGCTGGCAGTTTGTGGTCTGTTCTCGGGAAGTCACCAGGGACCTTGAAACATCTTTTTCTCCTGGTGCTAGTGCTTGGCGAGCCCCCTAAGGTTGTGTGGATTTCTCCTCCTGCCCTTCCTCCTCTGTTGAGAAGGGGCACAGGAGCACCCTTTCCTGGACTATGGTTTGGCTCTCATTTCCCGCCCCCTCCCCCTGCAGATGGGCTGGAGAGGGCGGCTCTTCTCACCCTTTCTTTACTGAGCACCCACGTTTTATTCCTTTCCCCGGATTGAAATCTTGTATGATTGGTTCCTTGTTATGTCATTCCATCTGTCAGCAGACTTCCTGCTTTTGACAAACCAGTGACTCCTCCGCCCTTCACCTGCTGGAATGTGGACCTTGTCCTGCAATTAAAAGATGGAGGGCCTGTTTCCTGGAAGCCGCTGGGATCCTTCTCTTGGCTTTCCTGTGCTCTCTGTATCCCTAGTAGCTCCCTAGCTGTGCTTTGGCGAACTTAACTCGTCCTCAGGTACTCTACCCGGCACTCTGATTCCAGGACTTTATCTAGTCATCTCTCTGCACAGTAGCTGCCCTGGTTGACAGTTACAAGTGAACAGTTCGCTTTTCCAACCTGCCTGTGTCCTTTGTAGCTGGCACCTGGGTTAGTTTGGCAGTTGTAAAATTGCATTGATCCTAACTTAATCGCTAATGACAAATACAAATGTATTGGTTTTAGAATCTAAAGATTATCCATCACGATTTTGCCAAGGAAAGAATGTGTTTACTCCCACTTCCTGTTGACTCTTAGAACACTTGAAATACTGTTTCTCCAAGAGCAACTTAGAATATATCCTCTCTTAATGTACAGTATCAGCGAATATGTGTTCGGAATGCTTAAGATACTGTCTGCAGATAAAGAGGCTCATTACCAAAAAACATGTAATGCATTAAAAGGTCAGTGACTCCTGATTTACTAGCTGGCCCCTGACCCTGGCACTCAGTTGCCTTCTCCCCTTGCACGCCATCAACCAGTTCTTGGGTATGAGAGCCCACCGTGAGGTGTTAGGTGACCTGCACAAAGAACTCCTAGAGTTCCTTGATAACTGCTAGTCACTCACCTCCAAGGTGTAGAGAACAAGATTCTTCTGAGGACAGTGAATCACTTGGAGAAACATAATACTTGAGTACTGAATAAAGCACTTTCTTTCTTAACACCCAGCTTTTGTACATCCATCCGTGAGCTCCATATTTTTTCAATACCACGCCACTTGTCCCTCAGACATCTACCTGGGTCCTTCATAAAATGTTTGACCTTTACCTACAGTTTTCACCTGAATTCCCACCAGACAGCTTCAGTCTTACCTAGACGTTTAATGGTATTCCCGTCTGAGACAGAAAGGTTATTACAAAGTAGTTTCCTATTCTATGGAATTTTACCTAGAATTTACAAGATGAGCCCAAGTTCCTAATGTGCCATCTAATAAGCAAGATTTCAAAACATATGATTTTATGTTATACTTATTTTCTAATCCCCCATGAGGAAGCATGTACTATGTCTGCTTGTATTTCCAGTTCCTGGGTCATCTCAGGACACAGAAGCAAGACTCTGATTTAAATATAATGATGATGCCACCAGAACTATGCAGATAAAAACCTCATTATTTTTAAAGTGCTTTCCATACTGAAAGGGTCATAGATTACGACTCATGATGTCTGAAAAAATCTTTTGTCCTAGATTGTAAAAGGTCATCTTTTTAATCTCTCTTGGGTTTTTAACATTTTGAACAGGATTACATGCAGAACGTTCATGGTAAAGAGATTGATCTTCTGAGAACCACTGTGAAAGTCCCAGGAAAGAGGCCCCCCCGAGCCACGTCGGCCTGCGCGCCCATCTCCAGCCCTAAAACCAATGGCCTGTCCAAGGACGTGAGCAGTTTACACATCTCACCAAATTCAGGTAAGCTTCCGGCAGACGCGCTAAAGAAATCAAGTGTGATAACAGTAGTAGATGTTACTGGCATGAACTCTTAGGTTAGGTGGAGACTTGTCTGTTACATTATAGATGAAGGTTTAACGTCACCCATCCTGTGACTGATCGTTTTCTCTACACCTTTGGGTTTCCATGGATGCCAGCAAGCAGATGGTGGCGCTTTGAGTCACAGCTGTACAAACCAAGCACCTAGGCTTTCTCGGGGCTGGGTAATCAAAAGTAGAGTTTTATTCACGAATTGGGTACTTAATGGCCTTCTGAAGAAAACTTGGTTTAATTGTTAATATATCAAGGATTAACTAATGTCTGGTGACTGTGTATGAAAGTGGAAAAACCATTTGGAGCAAGTTTTGAAGGAAACTATTTGACCTGTATAAAACTTGAATTCTCTCCGTTTTATATTTTAACTATAATCTGTCATTCCTTGATGTAACTTTAGTGTTCTTTATTCTCTTTTAAAGGAGATTTTTTTTTTTTTTATTAGGGATCAGAGAATGTTAGTGTTTTCTCAAAATTTGATGTGTTTGGAAATTCCTGGCCTGTGTGTGCAGTGACAAGCCATTCAAGATGCCTTGCTCACTTTTGTTTAAGAGTCTTTGCAAATGGTTGATTGTGCTGTGGCCTTAACCCTCCCATGATTGCTTATCTGGGAAGAGGTGTTAAGACCCCCTGGTGTCCTTCCACTTGCACACTCAGACGCCTTCAGCGTATAGAATACCTGCCAGAATTTTTGTTGTTTTCTCCAGCAAAAGTCCCTTTTTCTCTCCCACCTACATCCAGTCTTCTCAAAACAGATTTCTGATCTGCAGTGATTTTGAGCGTAAATCTCCATTTATTAAAGAGGGATGATGCCACCCACACAGTGCTGTGGCATAAATGACACTGGCTGGTGAAAGCAGGATGGTCAAAGGGGTCAGAAGCTGGGGTCCACCAGCCTGGGCCCCGCCGCGTGCTGTCAGATGCGTCACTGAGCCATCTCTTCACCACCATGCTGGCCTCCCTGTCACCGTGCTGTGACATCAGGTACCAGAGCCTATGTGAAGGTGCTGGGAATCTGGGAAAGCATGATGGAAACACAAGCTGCTGTCACTAATTGGACTTTCTGCTAAAGGAGACGTGAGTTCCTTCCAAAGTGGTGAGAGATTGCTTTGCATGGCCTCCTGTGACCCGCTGACCTTCCTTCCAAGACGTCCATGAGATTTCCCTTGTCAGGAGAAGAGGGAAAAGTAGTGCCCAAGAAATAAAATAAAGTTCTGTGGTGAATAAAAAGCTAAAGTCTTCATTGCTTTATTACTTTACATTGTTCATTCATTTATTTTAAAAAATGTTTATTGAGCACGTGTTTTGTGCCCGGAATCATCTATGCTGTGACCATGGAGTCTCTGACCTCCAGACTTCCTGTACAAGGTGGTCCTGTAGCCAGCTAATTGTTCACCCCCCGCTCTAACCCGTCCCATCACATCTATCCATTTATTTATTCAAGTCAGACAAACAATTATTGAGTTTCCTTGTTTTTCATTTATTTTAGAGTTGACAAAAAGTTGTATCTATTTTTCATGTACACCGTAATGTTTTGAGAATGGCTGAGTGAGGCCGTTTATTGAGTTTCTAATGTGTGCCCGCTGCTGTCGCCAGCCCCGGGCATGCAGATGAATAAGACATAATCTGTGTCCTCAAGAATCTCACCCTGCTGTTGGGGAGAAAAGTAGTGGGGACATGGGGGATCCAGTGATGGATGGTCAGGAGGTGGGCCAAGGCTTTAGGGCACAGGGCATGTCTGTGCTGAGTCTGAAGGTCAGGGTGGGAACTCAGCAGGTGCATAGGGTGAGAGAAGAGCATGCGATGACTTGAAGAAGTGTGCATGTGTAAGAACAGCGTTTTAAACTTCCTGCTCTCAAGACTTACATTCTTTGGTGTGGAGTGCCACTCGTCCTGAGGAAAATATAATGCTTGATTATACATAGAAAATACAAAAGGCCGTATCAACTGTACTATGTCCCATGGAGCGGGTTATGTCATGAACGTGTCTGTTAAGGGAAAGAATTGTGTGTCCTCGAGAAGGCATTTCGCAGTGCCCAGTCTCATTCTCTTTAAGACCCTTGCTGTTGGGTGAATGGGGAGGTTTGGGACATGATTACAATCCCTGTTCCGTGGCCACACCCCTCAGTTATGACAGCACATCTTTCCAACCCTCCCCTCTCCCTGCATACAGGGAGCCTCTTCTTTGGATCCAAGTAGGGACATGGAAGTGGGGTATGACAGGAACACAGTGCCACTTGGGAGAAGAAAGTGCCTCGTGGTCACAACAGTGTGCAGGGCCGGGTGCATCCTCACTAAGCACACAGGTGAGGTCATCAGCTGGTGTCCAGAAGAGTGGACGGACCCTCAGACCACAGCTCCCTGCTGGTTTCTCAGCTTAATTCTCAGGCCCTGAGACTAAGCCACAAGGGAGACACTGCTGTAAGGGGCAGCTGCTTTATTCAAATATTGCGAAATTGTAATTTACATTGACCTCCTCGAAACCTGAGCATTAATCTGTGAAGTGATACATTCTTTCTTGCTTAAGAAATTAAAGCATTTTGGGAGATTTAAGTTTTTATACTCTGAATTACTCTTTGAAAATTGAGTTTCTTATATTTAAAATCATCATTCATAAAATGCTCTCTCAATGAGGAATTCCATCACAGCAAATTTAATCTGAAATAAGTTGATGCTATGTTTAAGTGATGGACTTCAAGCTACAAATAGGTTTTAGTTATGTTAGAGCTATTTTCCAAAACGTGTAATATGCTCTGTAACCTTATTCTTTACTCACGACGCATTCGAATTCTGCTGTTTTGTTTTAGAGTTCTTGGTTAACTGGAGATGTTTGTTTCTTTTTATGCTTCCTTTTCTTCCTTATTCATTTTCTTATCTCAATGTCATTGAACTAAATCAAATCTCTTCTAGTAACCTCTCCATTCACATAGACCTGAGGTATGCAGGTACCTAAATCTCTGTGCATAACCCTTATTATTGTCTTAGAATAAATGCGCATAAGTGGAGTAACACCTCGTAACTGTTTATAAGGTTCTTGATACGTATTTCCAAATTAATTTCTAAGAAGGTTTCATATAAAATACCCTCTGTCCATAAAGTGAGTGCCCTTTTCATCGTACACACTTGCTGCTATTAAGTATCATTTTTAGAGTCTGTGCTAATCTGATGAGCAATAAAAACACCTTATGTTTGTTTATTTGGATTTCTTCAGTCATGGATTTTAGCATCTCATATGTTTTTTGGCCATGGGTATTCATTTAGATGTATCCTTTGCCCATGTTTGCACTTATCTTTTTCTTATTGATATTTAAGAACTCTTTGTATATTTAGGATATTAATATTTTATCATATATTTTCCAGATATTCCTCTAGTTTATTTTTTGCTTTTTAAATTTCATGATCTTATCTATGTAGAGGTTTTCCCCCTTTTTATATATAATCAAATCCAAAGTCTTTTACTTCTGTGGTTTTTACTTTAAGCTATTTAGAAAGCCTTTAGTAATCCTGAAATCAGATCACAAGTCATATATGTATATTTCTAAGTTTTACAGTTTTATTATTGTTTCTTTTTCCCTTTTTCTAAAAAAAATATTTAACCCCTAACCCATCTTGAACTTGTTTGGGTCTTTTGTGTGCAACAGGATGTCTAATTAAATTTCTTATTCAAATAAATAACCGATTGTCCTGTCTCTCCTTGTTAAATTGATTTCTTTCCCTATTAATTCTATATGTCTCCTTTGTTGTACAACTAAATCATTTAATCAAATGGGCTATGTTTCTGGGCTCTTGAATCTATTGCATTGACCTACCGTTCCCACATTGCCTTGCCGTATGTAGATTTACCGCATGGTCTTGGATTTATGACTCAGTTTGTATCTGGTAACACAGTTTAGTATTTCTCTTTTATCCTCCTATTTTTCTTGGCTATTGCTACCCATTTGTTTTTTTTCCAAATGAACTTCAGAATAACTTGAAATCTTCTCCTTCCTCCTCAAAAATAATCCCATGGTGACCTTAATTGGAATTGCTTTAAACTATCAATTAATTGGGGAGGAACTGACATCTTTACTATGCTGAGTTTCTTATCATGGAACATGATTCTTTCCCAATTTATTTTATACCTATTGGTTAAAGTTTAGTGTTTTTCTTCATTTAGATTGTTCCATTTTGTTAGTTTATAATTTTTGGTGCATTGTTAGGCTAATCTTGTTTGGGGGGGGTGTCTATTATATCATCTAATCGGTAAGAAGTAAGAAAGCTCCTAATTTTTGTGTTTTGTGTGTCTAGCCATCTTGCTAAACTCTTGTTGGTTGGAATACCTGTCTGGATGTTTCTCTTGATTTTCTAGTATACAGTCATAATGCATGTCTTTTGCTATATTGAAATTATGACTCCATTTCACACATCAAAATGCTGGAAATGCGGTGATCTTAATGTCAGTTTTTGCTGTGAGCTTGGGAAAAAGGAAGAAAACCATATTGTCGAAGTATCTACATCAGGCACTGGTAACCTGAGCCCAGGTCTCACTTTAGGGCTTGCTTGAGTGTTAACCAGAACAGAGAAGCTCCAGGGAAGGTGGGGTGGCTCCCTGCTCCGTGTGGCAGGCTTGGGGTGCAGGAGTGGGCTGGGCACAGCGGGCAGAGTGGCTGATGTGAGAAGAGCTGACAATGGCGTCCCTGCTGCCACCACCCCTGCAAGCGCAGACCTCTGCACTCTGCATAGCACCTGAGAGAAAGCAAGCAACATGTCAGCGAGAGCAGCCTTCTGCTGTGGGTGCCAATGCTTGAGAGAGAGGGAAACTCAGACCTCTCCATGGTCACAGAGAAAAACAGATATCTGGAAAGGCAAAGCTGCTCTGACAGTAAGCAACATATGTAAAGTGCACCAGCCTGCCCACAAACCCCCACACTGTTGGTCTAACTAAAACC